AAGTGCTTTTCAGTGCGATATTGACATCGCGCTGTAGAGCGCGTCAGTTTTAAAGTGCATTGTTGTGAAGTGCAATATCTGCTCGCGCCTCGCATAAAGGATGACACTTTCTCAGGCTGCGCGGGGAATTTTATTCGTCATCGTGTGCCATTGTTAATGGCGGATATCGGAGAATCTGATGGCTCGATCGGAGATTTTTCGAGGAGCACGAAAAAGAAGATCGCTTACCGTGGAAATGAATGCGGAGGGCCATTGTGGCACAACGGCCGTGGGAGTGACGTCCATTAAGTGGATAGACGAATAACACTCTCTTGACTCCACCACACAAGAAGGTGTCATAAATATTGTTGGGTCTATCCGTGCAACTTCTTACATACCACCATCATCCGTTGCGTATCTCTTCACTATTTTTATAACATCTCCGGAGACTCCTCAACAATACCGGCTCTAATGAAATTTGTATAGAAACTAATATTAAGTGCTATCTCTCCATTATTCCCCTCTTCCCATCCACAATTTCACGGTGATCTGGCATTAATTGAAGGAATTGGCGTGCCTACAATGTATCTTCGGATGATTGTTGTGCGAATTTAATTTTGCAGCGACAACTTCACATCCCAGCGAGCCGCAAGAGCCAAAAAGAGCTCATATTTTAGCTATAAAGAGCTGAGATATGAGCTCAGATTTAAATGAAATTGAGATGAAATTTCGATTAATTTTCTTAGCCAACTTCTGAGTTTTCTTGCAGTGTTTCGTTTAATATTTTACTGAATTTTACCCCAAATCCAAGGGGAAAGTCACTCGCAAGTTGAGATTATTTGTGATTATTTTTGATTATTCTGATTATTTTTCAATTTTATATGGGAAAATAATAATTTTTTGATTATTTTGATTATTTTGATTATTTTTCAATTTTATATGGGAAAATAATAATTTTTTGATTATTTTAGTCAAATAATCGTTTATTTGATTTGAGAATATTTAGTTTCCTCTAAAATCGCCTTGTGACTTCCCCCTTGTCCAAATCTCAACAGAGTGCGCTTCTCACCTTGCTAATGTCTTAGCAAAAGAAAGCAAAAATATTTTTTAGGAAGACATTTTCCTCGGTGTTTCGATTCCTTGTGAATAATTAAAAGAAAAAGCCCAGAAAACAACTCGTATATTTTCCTTTATTATCAACAAATTGCTCTATATCTTGTTTCTAATTGCCCATATATCTTGTCGGTTGTTCTCAATCAAATTATCGTCCATAGCAAATCACTATATATATATAGCGGTCGGTTTGTGCGAACCTGCGCAATGTGAAAACCATGCCTTGGAATTATTCAGAGAGAAGCCTTTGCATGGCAAATTTGATGGCAATTGAGAGTGAATCACACGCTGTGAGCATATTTGATGGTGACTCACGCCAGGACATCCGCCTGATCCTGTGCCGGAATGTGGCAATTGGCAAATCTCTGGAATGTCATGAGCTTGAGTCATGCTTGGCATGAAATTGAGGGGAGAGAAAATGGAAAATTTCCACTGGATGTATTTTTTGCGCAAGCGTTTTTCCGCCCAGATGCCAAATGTGACCAAAAATTTGGCGAAAAACTTCGATATTTCACGGGTTGAAGGCAGAGGAAAGTAAAGTGAAATTGGGCCCTTCTTTCGTACCTTCGATTTCTGTCTTGGCAGCGCGAGTGCAATTGATTGGGAACAAAGTCACGAGGCCGCAGGGTGAAGAAGTACATTGGCAACCACTCCCCACTTATTTGCATTGGCGTTCGCTTTTTCGGGTGGAAAGGAGAGGACTTGGATTGCCGGAAGATATCCTTTGGCTGACTTCAGTAACCTTCACGCGACGGTTTGCATCTGACCTACTAACGTGTGACTCCCACGGTACAAATTGCGCACAAAATTGGATAAGTAAAACGAAGTAACACACCCATTTTGCTCATTACCGTGTGCAATTCATATCTTCGGGCCGCTTGAGAACTGGCCGAATTTGGCCAATCATTACAAAGTTGCAAGTGTCCGTGAGTTCAACGTGAAGTGTTCTTTCTTGCCACTCTTTCGCCCGTCCTGGCAAAGGATCACACAGCCAACTGGATTTCCTGCCACGAGTTTTGTACAGACAAAAAGTGATTTCAACTCAGGATTATTAGTGGTTTTTTGTGTGAAAAAGGAAAAGGGATACAAAACACCACGCCAGCAGACAGAATAGTATGAAGGATGTATTTGACACGTAGAAAGAAGGTAAATTCTTCAAGTGTCTCATTAGCAGTCTCACGCTAAATTGTCTTCTGTGTGAAGCCGCATATTTGCATTGCAAATGTGTGAAATATTCTACTGGGTAAACCTGAAGGGACAGCCTTCTTCGAGGCCCCTTTTGATCTCATCTTTGCCAGAGAAAATCAATATTCTCGAGAAATGTGCCAATTTCTCACGTTCCATCCATTTGATTCCACACACTTCAGCGTGGCTTGGAAAACACCTCATGAAATTGCCATAAATCCTGGCAAAGGACCTGTGTTTGTTTTGAGGTTATGACTTGAGACCATTTTGCGAAGCACTTTCCATAAAACTCAAGGAATTTGTCAATGAAATTGTGATGATTCAGGAAGTATTGAAGGGAGATTTTGCTCATGTTCTGCACTTCAAAATGCCATGGCGACAGACAATATGAAGGTTGGCATCTAAAAAAAGACCATCGGAAAGAAGCTACACGCCTACAGGGATGCTGTACACATTCCTCGGCACATCTTGGATATATAGATAATGAAATGTCTCTGCGGCTTAGAACCTCCGTGGCTCGCAGAGAGCATAAAATGTGCGGCGATGGTACTAAAAAGCAGGGTGTGCGTCGTCGCTGTTCTTGATGTTTATGCCTCATGCCACAGAGAAATCTTCATTTGGACCTTTTTTCCCCCGCGAAAGATAGTGCAAAAATATCCACCAGAACCCATTGAACTCCCAATCGAACAAACAAGGGTAAAGTGAATGGGACACAAGATGTTGTTTTTCCATAGAAACCCAAGCAAATGACCTCAATGTGGGTGTTCTCATTCTGGTGATATCTTTTTTTTTATGCGCACTCGTTTGGACAAAAGTCTGGGAGGGAACATAAAACTATATTCTGTGAGACACCGCTGAACTTATGTGCATTTGTTTTATTGATTGCAACCATTAAACTGCCCCATGTGAACTTCTAATGCTAATGCAGTGAAGTGAAACATGAGAAATTGAGGGCAAAATTGTGCCGGGAAAGCATATTCTTTGGCAAAAGGGAAGAGATTATGAGTGGCTTTAGATTTGGATCTTGGAAATTGTTCTGCACAAGCGCTGCTGATAAGGAATAAACTATTCGTAGGAACTTTCTAATTTTACCTGCAAAATTAACATCCGATATTCTTAAGGGGTTGCATAAAAGCCAGTCTATCAGATTTCGTCAAGATTTTCCACTGTGAATCTAACCAAGGGGGAGATAATATAGTCAGGATCATTCACTAATCACGGACGGATTTAGTTGAATATTTTGCACTTTCGCACATCAATTCTTATGGTAAAGTCGTCAAGATGACTAGTCATTGACAGAATCAAGAGTTTTCATGCGATAAATATTGCTATTCTGTATCTTGGCAGCCAGAAACGAACATAACCTCAAAAATACAGTTTTGAACATGGAAAATGTCTATTAAGACGCTTTTCTGCACAAATTTGACTTGAAATCAGCAATTATGAGTTTACTGATGATTTTATCATCCAGAATGCTTTCAATTGGAGTCTTTTAATATCTCTTAGTGATATTTTTGAGGTTATGGTCGGATTTTTACCGAAATATCGCATGAAATCCTGAGATTTTTAGTATATTTAGCAAATTTCTCTCCAACAGCCTTAAAACTTGAAGTGCCGGAAGTGTTAGGAAGTGGTGTACAGATTAAGAGCATATTATCTCCCCTTTGAGTCTCACAAATTTGAATTTATATTGAAAACTGTAACGATCTTCATGCTATATCGATTTTAATCGGATGTTTTACTAACCCATTTATGAAATATGATTGGGTCTATAAATGTCTGAGAAAACAAACACATTTCTTTCTCCACTCTCGTTGCGCGGGCCACGCGTAACTTTTCCACGTGTATAAATGTTAGCAATCGTGGGAGTTTCCATGCCAAATTCAACTGACATGCATGAAAATCATGAAAATATTTTGATATCTCGTGCACGCACAAGTTCGCACTTCAAAGCAGGAGAAAAAATAGAAATTAATTAGTCAGCGAATCCCTTGGCACAAACGCGCAATTCTACGAGGCGCAGGTAATTTGCCAAGAATTAGGTTGCTTCGCGAGCACAAGACGCCAGGCCACGGAGGAGGTTAAAATGTGAAACTGCACGTGTTGAGATCGGAAAGTGGGATGGGGCGTCATGAGACGAACATGTGAATGAAAATCAAATTCACTTTATATGGATTGAGGTGAATTATGAACTGAGATGTTGAGACTCTGGGCAAGAGAGTCGCGTAAGTAGTCCAATCGTGCTTTATGAGGTCTAATGAAATTCTTTGTCGTGTTCGGAATGTGTTCCATTTCTTCCCCGCTGTCTTATACTCTTAGTTTCATTCCTGTCGCGCACTTCAGCTGCTCGCGTACCTCCTTTTGCAATTAACCAAATTTCTAATCTCCGCGGCCACCTTTCGGCGCGCCGCGAACACCGCGCGCGCGGTCTCAGAGTGATTTACCAATTTTGCGCGCGCCAAGGAGCGACACAATATCACCGCAGCTCTAAACGTTTCGCAGAGACGCGAGACAACGAGAAGAATCACTATTTTTTGTGCCATTTTCTTAATTTAATTTCAAAACATACCATCACGCGTCTTGTGTTCAGTTTTCTTCTGTGAGCACAGCAAACTTTCTCACAATGGCCAAGTTTCTTCTTCTTGGCACAAAGTCGTGCGCAGAGGATTCTAATTGAGCCAATTGAGCACTGACATGCCTTTCCATCTCTCGCTTCCTTCCAGGTTCAACCGTCACATGGCGGGAATACGTCTGAGAGCGAGATGAACGCCAGGATCGTAAGAAACATGGAAGAGCATAACGCCCTGGCCTGCCAAGACGCCACCATTTTCATCTTGGACGAGAGTGCTAGCTATAATAATAGCTTAATTCGCGGCGATGTGCGTCGCAGCAAGTCGCGCGTTCGGTCGTACTTGAAGCGCTGCAAGGATGCTCTGATTGGCACCTCATCATCCGCGGAGGACAGCTGTCCAACCACCCACGAGGCAGTCTCCCAGGCGCCATCCGCGACCTCCTGGTACCGCGAAACCGCGCCCGATGACGGAGCGAAGGTCAGCGGCACGGATGACACGGAGGGTCCTTCGGCGCAGGACGAGGCTGGAGCATTGCCAGGGGAAACTCCTGCCGCCACAACTGGAGGTGGCATCCATGGAAACGAGGTATTGAATTTGAGTGGATTGAATCCGTTTGACTTGCTATTTGGGTTGATATTTGTGACAAAGTGTGTGTTGAGCATTTAGGATGAGTAGATTTCACATGGAATCAAGTACTATTTTCCCCTTGGTTTCCTCCACGCAACATGCGATAATTCAATAACTTCTCTTACATGGAAACGACTCTGTATTCTGATTGTATGGTTTAATCGTCTTCACACCCTCATTCCTATATTTTTCAAAAGTCTCTCTCTCTCTTCCACTGTAAAATCCACGCACTATTATCTCTTTTATCACTCTCTGACGCGGAGATTTATTGACTTGGCTCGCCGACTTTCATCGGGGGAAGGACGTGAATGCAAAGTCTTGTAAACATTCAGTATTGAATGAGAGATTTAAATGGTGATTAAGATGATTACATGTAAGAAACGGCTAGATGACAATTTCCACAGAAAGAGTTTCTCTCGCATGGACGCACTTTCGGAAATCGAGCCTCTTGACGGTGTGTTCTTCTCTTCCTCGGGATGTATTTCAGCCACACGGGAACACCCTTGAAGGCCTCTCTCTCTTGATGCCGCACGATACGGGAAAAGGGAGTTGTTTGTCTCTCCGAAATGCTGGTGGTCCAACGCACATATATATTGATTTCCCCTGTTCGCCTGTGGCACGCATTGTGGCGCGTACCTCAGTGGGAACCCCGCGGCGAGGCGACCGTAAAAAATAATTCAAATATGGGTAAATAGAGAGAGAGTGAGAAAGGGCTGAGCGGAGAGTAAACACAGAGTAATGATTCCCTCAGATGAGGTCCACAAAATCATCAGCACTCCCTTCAATTTAGCGTGCTTTGTGCGCGAATAAACACCATAAATAAAGTGAGGATCAACTCGACGGGTGAATGGAAAACTATGAAAAGTCGATTTATCATAGTTTTCGTCGTATGTATTTTTGAAAAGTCTTTTATTTGTTCTTTCTGTACAAGAATTTTAAGATTTGTATCTTATGAGACAATTGAAAAAAATCTTATTTATCTAAAAAGTACAAATGGAAAAAAATTGTCATGTTTTGCGAATGAAAAGTCGAATTTTCATTGTTTACGCTGTACAATTTTTCCAAGAAAAATGTCTCAAAAATTGCAGTCAAATACATTAAACGTCTTTTTTGGAAAATATTTGTAGATTTTCAGAATTATCCTAAAATGTTTTTTTGGACTTTAAATGAATATTTCTCATATCTTTTAAATTTTTTCACTTGAAAACATTAAAAAAAAGTTCAAGTGAAGTATTAAAAGTTGATTTTTTGTATAAAATCGACTCAAAAACCATTAAAAATCGACTTTGAAAAGTAATATTTTCAGATTTTCTATTAATTTTGCCACATTTTAGTGAAAAATTTCAATAAATACCAATAAAATATTTACAAAATAAAAAATACAGAGCAATATTTTCACTTTAACGAACGATTTGAAGGCATTTTGAGTATTTTGAAGTAAATTTCGCAAATTTCGCAGCTGTTTTAATGCAAAATTTTGAACTTGCTTTGCTGAAAAATGACGATTTTGACTTTTTATAGTTTTCGAGGCACCCGTCGAACTGGGTGGGCTGGAAGTGACGTAAATTCACCATTTGCCTCATCCTTTGAGGCCTCTAAGGTGGATTATTGCTGAGATTTATGTGTGTGTGAAATATATTACTGCACATGACAAAATATTGTTACAATATGCGAAAGAAACTGTATGATTTTCTGCCACTTGCAAGGGTTAATCGGCGAGTTATTATGCATATTTTTCCGCAAATGACTGAGCAAGCACTAAATCGCGATGATGTTCGCGTCGGTGCTGCTTTTTTGCGGAGTGTAATTCTGCCGTGATTGAAATTTATTAGTTGGAAGGCATGGATGTGATCGTTTGCAACTGTTTACCATTTCATTGGGCTTCTTGGCCACCGTTTGTGCTGATCGTTCATCAAAAGGAACGATGATTGACTCCTGCAGACGTTCGCGCATATTTATTGTTTTCTTTTTTTAATCTAATGCTCATCGTGATCAATTGTTGCTGGCGAAAAGAAAGTGTTAAGACGTCATCTGTGCGTCGAGATTCCTGAATTCTTTCTTCTCAATGGCGTGTTATGGCATCTCAAATGAATTTTATTACCTTCAAGTAGGACTTTTCAATATATTTCACTTCTCGCTCAGCAATACCAATCAAGATCAAGCTGTGATATTCATACATCTCAAGAGAAGTACTCTTCGCACTCTCGCCCATAAATTCCCGCATCTGAAATTGCGTCAATGCACTTTAAAGTGTTAGCCTGATTAATGCATCTGCTCGCTGAGTGGCTTCACAATTGCTCCAAGAAGTCTCAGAAGAAAAAATATCATGCAGGCGCACGAGTTCCACTGAATGTGATTCCATCGCAAGGAGACCCATTGAAAATTGTATACGGAAGTCTTACAAGTTTGCTATATGGAAATGTTCTCAATGAAATTAAATTGCTGTTGAACATTAAAATACACAATTACGCCACGGAGATGCCGCGCGCGTTTATTGATGAGGAAATTAAGAATGCCACACAGAGTCGAAAATTATCCAATTTAGCTGTCACACTAAAAATTCTTTACATATTCATTATTCCTTGACATAACTTCTCATAAAAACACATAATTGGTATATTCCACAATAGTGGAAATTGCTGTAAAAGTAGCCAAAAGGGATTTCAATTAAATATACAAATCTCCATAGGAATGCATCGGAATTGGCCTGTTATTTTGCATCTTGCATATTTATATGCATATCAATTGAGCAGCAGGGGTCGTGATTACAGTGCGTATATGAGTGAAATGGATTTAATGTGGAGTTGAGATTGCGTAAGATTGAAGATTTTTATGGGCATTGCCAAGGGGCAAATCACAAGGCGATTTTTGAGGAAACTCAATGTTCTCTAATCAAATAAAATTAATTGTTTGAGTAAAATAATCAAAAAATGATTATTTTCCCAAGTAGAATTGAAAAATAATCAAATTATGATTTAAATAATAAAAAAAATATTTTTTTCTCAACTAAAATTGAAAAAAAATCTAATTTTGAATACATAATCAAAGAAAAGATTATTTTCCCGAGTAAAATCATAAAAAAAAAACAAAATAATCAAATTCTGAAATAAATAGTCAAAAAATGAATATTTTCTCAAACAAAAATTGAAAAATTATTGAAAAAAATTACAAAAAATCAAAATAACCAAATATTAAATTAAATAATCAGAAACAAATTAATATTTTCTCAAGTAAATTTTGAAAAATAATCATATTTTGAATAAGATATCAAAAAAAACAAATCCCAAGTAAAATTACATAAATATCTCAATAATGAAATTCTGAATTAAATGATGAATAAAAATAAATTATTTTCAATCAATTAATCAGAATATTCCGAATATTTACAATTATTCAAGTATATTCAAAATTTGATTAAATATTCCGGAGAATAATCAAAAAATAATCAGAATTTGTATGAAATACAGAATTTTTAATCAAATATTCAGCAAATTATCAGAATTTTCTACGAAATAATCAAAATTTGAGTAATAATCACAAATAATCGAAAAATAGTTATTGGTCTCAACTTGCGAGTGATTTTCCCCTTGGGCATTGTGATCGATCGGTAGGTTTTACGGGTTTTCATTTGAATAACAAAGCAAATTCCATGCAAAGATCGTGAAAGATTACGAAATATGCCAGTGCAATTCGATCGTGATTTCTCTAATCTATCTGCCAAAGAACTAAATATACAATTTCTTCCAATTCTCTTCGCTCTTCCTCAAATTATACGTCGCAATTAATTTTTAATCATTTGCCAAAAATGGAATTTCATAACAATTTCACTTTACTTTTCGGAAGTCATCCACCGGAAATACTTCAATTGTCACTCTCAACGGCCACAACATGTAATCAAAGTTGCAAATAAAAACAGTAAAAATTGCAATATACTTTTTCCGCAAAAATATCTATTCTCTCTGTTGCCATTTCAACTCTAATTGGCGGATCACACGGGGCAAAGAATTTTGCCATCGGGGATAGTTGGGCGGTAAAAAAGGTGCGAAATGGAATAATTTTGGACATGAGGCAATTCTTTCTTTTTAATGAAACTGAAATTTCTTCCGGATTATCGCGCCTCGAGGCCGCGTTTCACACTGCGCGATGCACGATGATGGGTTAGAAATTGTGGGCATCGCAGATGGAGAAGTATCGGCCAAGTGATAGACAGAAGAATGCAGTGTGAATCCACCATGGAATAAATGATGATAAACGATCAATTTATTATATCAGGCGTCAATGAATGCGCCGCCAATTGGCCACATATCTGCATATGATTTCACGTCAGTCTCTCTCTCTCTCTCTCATCGTCTTATCTAATCTATTCCTGCGTTTGTCTATGGACAAATAGTGTTTTGTGCAGTGAAATACAGCCTCGGTGATTTCATCAATTTCATAAATATTCTCCTCTGGTGGTGCGCCTTGGCTACGTGGTGAATAAATAAAGAAGATGCGTCCCATAAATCTTCAATCACATAAATTTTATTATGAAAATTAACATTTGTGTGCTACAAGTCAAATGCAATCGCGCCGTGTGGACGTTTTATATTGATACCTCCACTCCGATGGCCTTTCTTTTGTATACACATTTCTCTCCAAGGGGGAGATAATACGCCCTAAATCAGTACACCACTTCCAAACACTTCACAGTTTTTCCTCAATTATAATCTCTTAAGTCTCTCAATCTCTTAAGTTTCCATCCGATATTTCTGCAAGAATTCATTTAAAAACACTTTTTAGCCATCTTTTTCAAACATAACCTAAAAATATAACTAAAAGATCTTAAGAAACTCTGTTTAAAAGCTCTCTAGATCACAAAATCATCTAATTTTATGACTAGAAATTGCTGATTTAGAGTCAGAATTATGCAGAAATTCATTTAAATGAAATTTTTGCAAGTCCAAATGATTATTTTTGAGGTTATGTTCCAATTTAATACAATTTACAGTGTTTCTGTTGTTTTTTCTCCAATAAAACACCCAGATCAACGCTGAAGACTTATAAATTATAAAGTAGAAATATGCGGAGCACATTAAAAGAAGACTTTCATTGAATTCAGACTCCTTGCCAGTAAATTTTATTTGAAAAAGACGTTAATTACACGACTATCATGACATTTCAACAGTTTCTTCACATTAAAAGGTCAGAATAGCAATGTTAATTGTATATAAAATGCCTAATTCTTCCCATAACTACCGATCTTTCGGCCTTGAGCAAAAGAATTGATGTACTGAAATGCGAAATATTTACTAAATCTATTCGCGAATCATTACATAACCTAGAAAAGGACTTTTTTCTTGACTTTTTTGCTTGATTTTAAGTAAAAATCGAGGAGAATCCAAAGAATTGTGATAATTTGTCAGTAAAATATGCAGCCAGGTAAGGAATATTGCAAGTTTCTCAACACTTCCACTTCTTCGCACTCCCATTGAGCTGTACACCACTTCTGACTGCACTATCTCCCCCTTGTTTCTGTCTTTTTCTCGAATTTGCGCGCGCGCGCTCGATCTCAAGTCCGAGGAAAAACACCCAGAATTTGAAATGCTTGACCATCGCGAGTGAAGATAGCCCTGTCACAGTCACTCGCGATGGGAAATGGGTCAAACGGCAAAGGTATAAAGTAATTCTTGCCGCCATGGAGCTCCTCTCGGATTAATACATCGATTAGATACTTTGGTGTGGCCCGTTATTCAAAGTGCGACTGCGGAGAAAAGAAAAGCGTTGGGAGATGCGAAGACACGGATATTTGTGTAGATGATTAGAATAAGTAAATTAAGAATGCTCCAAAGACTGCCAAAATGCAGTAGTTGTAGTGCTTTGTGGTCATTGTTGTGCGTGAATCAAATTATAACCGATAATTTCTAATCAATACAGGAAAATCTGCGCTGAGCCTGAGAAAATGATGGCTATTGTGGCGATGGAAGAGCAAATAAGCGTTCTACTTCTGATTGTGTGTAGTGTTGTGTTGTAAATGTAAATAAAGGTGAAAATAATAAATATTTATTATTACTCCTAAACGAATTCATGGGGGGCAAAATTGCATTATTCGTGAGATGCATGTGATTGCTAAGAAATTCCTCCTTCCAACTTCTTATGCACCACTTTTCGCCCTCAAGGCGCAAATTGAGCCATTTTCTCTCTGCACTTCCTTCACCCTTTTCTCATCTCCCGTGCCGGCAGAGTTAACAATTTAATAAAAGAGCTGTTGTCAGGATCTTTGGCTGCATTTCCCTCCACTTGATCTCGTCTGTGCGAATTCTCACGCGATCAGCGCCACGGATCAGCGCCGTTGATCATCCCATAGTCTCTCTCTCTCTCTCTCTCTCTCTCTCACTCTCTCGGTTCCAACAGCCGCAGCACAGTCGAGAGAATCTATTGATAGTGGGCGGGAAGTCAGATATATTGCATTTTTTATTGAAATTTATTTCCATAACCATCACTCCGATCTCTTCGCCCTTCATTCTGGCGCCAGAGGAAAAATCCACGACTGAGAAATCAATGATGACTGTTGCTAACACACATGCTGCATCGATATCAGAGCCACACACATGCGATAAAATTTAATTATATTCAATGCAAGGGATCCACCCGCTTGTAACCCATTTCCCGTAAATCATCCTCCAATTCAATGAATTGATTCCTCGCAGGCGGTCGCGCAACTCCATATTACACATGAAACAGAGTTGAAAGAATATTGTGAGTGAGTTTTGGGAGTTTGGGTTTCAGCGAAAGGGAAATAAATTACAGTGTTTGCGCATTAATTCTCACTCTGAAATGAGAAATATTATTTTTCAGTAAGAATCCATCGAAAACCGCTAGTTTTGGACGTTTTTTCCGATCATAACCTCAAAATGTCTCTAAGAAATCTTCAAAAACTCAATTTGGAAGCTTTTTTCATCAGAAAATCATTTGTCATTAATTGCTAGAGAACTTAAGGAAGCTGATTTAGAGTCAAAATTGTCTGGAACGTTTTCTGAATAAAACCAATTCTCAAATTCATATTCATATTTTTGAGGTTATGTTCGATTTCAACACAATTTGCAGTGTTTCTTGGCATCAAAGATTCAGAATTGCCAATTACTAACTATATTTCCGACTTTATCCTTAGAATTGATCTGTAAAAACATCAAATAATTCACTTAATCGACTTAAAAACGCATTTTTGAACATCTTTTCCGACCATAACCTCAAAATATCACTAAAAAATCTTCAAAAGTTAAGATGTTTTGAGGTTATCATTCGCCAATGAACTCATAAATGCTGATTCAGAGGGAAAATTGTCCAAAAAGCTTTCTAAATTAACATTCTTCAAGTCTAAATGACTATTTTTGAGGTTATGTTCAAAGTTCAATACAATTTGCAGTGTTTCTTGGCATAAAAGGTCCAGAATTGCCAAGGACTAGCAATATCTTTGACTTGAGCACTAGAATTAATGTGCTAGAATGCAAATTATTTGTTAAATCTTTCTGTGATTCGTTACATAACCTAGAAAAGGAATATCAGGATTGTTTCTACGTAACAATCCAGAGGAATCCAAAGAATCGAGATAAGGAGAATTGTAAGTTTTTGAACCCTTTTGAGCACTTGAAAACCCCAGGAATTCTTTCCAAACTCAGTTTCCAACACGATAAACGAAAAGTTACGCATTTGACTGCAGGATTTGATCATCTCAACCTATCTTGATCAACTCTGGCTCAAAGTGTAGGGCTAAGAACTTTCAATTTGGAGGAAAGTACGAGATCGAGGGAAGTGCAAGAGCGCAACGTCTCTAATTTTATGCCGTGGCTACACAATCCATTATATGAAAATGACTTACGGCTACAGAGAGATTTTTGAATCTGATCATATACAATTTTTTCCATGCACTCAAGAACACACAATCTGGGGCTTTTTGGGAAAGCAGAAGCCGCTCTGATTGCTACTTCTGTGTGCCCTTCTTTTCCTCATTACAGCCCAACATCTTTTTTTTTTGCCGATTTCGTGCAACGGCGGATCGTCAAGATGGGGCGAATTGGATTGAGGATGAGGAGGAATTTTGTTGGAAATGACTATTTTTTCCGCGCGATATGAATTTCCTAAGGAAACATTTGTGTTTATCAATCGCAGCGAATGCCGCCCATGCGAACATGGCACTCAAAATCAATTTCACCGCCAATTGAACCCCTCAATAATGAGCACAGTTATAGCTGCGAGGGATCAAATGAACTGACGAGGAGAGAAATCACGTGCTTCCTGGAGTTCGGCTGCTGGATCACGCTGCCATCCATGAGATCCGAGAGCGCAGTTGACACGGTTGATTTACAGTCACGTGGCGGTTGCCGCGGCAATTACTGCCATTAGGCGCCCTAAAATCAACACGAGGAAGTCTCCCAGGAAGGATGCAACAGCTCAATAACTCATATTTATGGACAGCGTGTGTGTGTGCGTGTGTGGCGCGGAAAAGCATACGCAATCCACGGAATATCCCATCCACTTCTTGCCTCTCCAGCACTCATTAAACGTCATTAGTTGTGTGTTGTGGTAAATCTTTCTATTGACATCGCCGGAGCGTTATTAATTTACTGTGCCTTGTTATGCAAAGTGACAGTCTCCCACATTTTATCCACCATTCTATGCACAACACGCTAAGTGCCCCGGTGCATACATCACGTCAGGCGTCACACAAAGTGCCTTGTGCAGATCTCTTCCGACTTCCGATTTGATTTCTGCCCATTTCCCCGTCCACCCAGCCATCTGCGATTGGACACAGTCGCGCGCTGCGCTAATGAGTGGCCCAAACAACTCATTAGACGTGCGATTTTCGCCGAATAAATCAGCCTGTCAATAAATCATCGCGGCAATTCGATGCGGTCTCATCGGTGGGATTTGGCTCTCTGGAAATTCACTGCAGCACAAAAGTCTCCGGTTGATCCAGGTCACGGAATTATGACTATGTGTACCTTTTATTGGTTGCCCGGGCAAATTTGTAAGCGATTTCCGCGATTGTATTTTTCACATGGATAATTTTCCTAAGCGAAGATTTGAGAAGATCAGCTTCAATTCCTCTAGGCAACATGCATTTCGAGAGCTTTATCTCTATGAAATCTTCCGCGGTATTTTGTAATTTTCTCCACGGAGTTAAGTCAATTTCGCGAGAGGCGGACAATTTACCTAAACACTAAATGGTAAATTTAAGGGTTTTTTTTTCTCATGATAGAAAAATGTGTCGGCAAAATGAAATACTTTCAAATTGACGAGTGAAGCGAAAAATGATGAAAAGTCGATTTTTCATAGTTTACTTCTTGTGTATTTGTGAAAAAAAATTATTTATGCAAAAAATACGACTGGAAAAAAATTTTATTATGTCTTTATATAGTTTACGATGTACATTTTTGTTAAGAAAATTGTTCTAAACTATAGAATTTTTTTAAAAATATTCTTAGATTTTAAATAAATAAAATATTTTCATATCTTTTAATTTTTTTCACTTGAAAACTTTAAAGAAAAGTTGATTATTTGGAAGTTGTTTTGATAAAATGTGCTCGAAAACTGTTAAAAATTGACTGTGAAAACAAATATTTCCAGTTTATTTTTAAATTTTGCCATATTTTAGTACAAAATTTTAACAAATTGCAATAAAATCATATGAAAAAATCCAGAAAACAATTATTAGAAGGCATTTTGGGGATTTTTTTGTAAATTTCGAAGCGTTAAATTTTCAATTCGCTTTCTTGAAAACTGGACGATTTTCACTTTCCATAATTTTCGATCCATTCATCAAAATTCAGTCCATTTATTGATAAATAAAGTGATGAAAACATTATGTTAAATGCTTCTTAGAACTGAATTTAATTTCTTGTCCTCTAGATTTTGTGGAAAATTTAAGCTTTAGCCAGTTTATTAGGCATTGTTCGAGTCTTTATGATATAATCAGTCAAGAATCAATTTCATACGGGTAGAAAAGCATACAATCATCGTGACCATTTGTGGTGCATTGACTGTGGCAGACTCGTTAACTGAAATGTATTTAAAGTGCAAATTTGTTGATATAACAAATATCTTCCTGGCCATTCAGTTGAATTCATTAAATTTACATGTGTTTTTTGCACTTCTGCGGTCTTCTGTGTTAAAGACCAATATGGGGACTTTACGTAAAATTGTAATTGTAGCATCTACAAGTATAGCCTGAGCGAACATGAAAAGGAAAACGCTGTGGTTTAGCATTTTGAAGACAAAGTAGAGTCGTGTTGTGTGCCTTCTTTTCCCATGTTGGGCGGCAATTGAAGACTGTGCTTCGCTCACATTTGGTCGTAGGTGAAAATAAGAGTCTCTTTCGCAATATATTATTAATATTGGGCTCGCAATTGGCCGGAAACTACAAAATTTTATGGTGTGCTGGGAAAATTTTTGCAGAATATCCCAACCTGTGGCAATCGATCAATAATAAATCTGCTTATGTTTGCATGTGTTTTATTCGACATGGGAGTCAATGGTGGTCATCCACTATCGATTTTGATAATCACGACTCTCGGTGGACTTTTAATTAAGCCTCGCCAAGGCGGGAAGAGTGAAAGAGAGATAAATGGTCCGATCGAATCTCCCAAAGAGCAAACCAGCGTTGAGAAAAGTCGCGAGAGATTGTCTCTGGGTAGATCACTTAATGATAATGATCAAGGGGCAAATCACAAGGAGATTTTCGAGGAAAATTATTGTTCTCCAGTCAAATAATCAATTATTTGAGTAAAATAATCAAAAAAATGATTATTTTCCCAAATAAAATTGAAAAATAATCAAATGTATAGTTTAAATAATAAAAAAAGATTATTTTCTCAACTGAAATTGAAAAAAAATCTTTATTTTAATAAATAATAAAAAAAAATTATTACCCCGAGTTGAATCACAAAAAAACAAAAGAACCAAATTCAGAATAAAATAGACAAAAAATTAATATTTTCTCAAACAAAAAAATTGAAAAATAATTGGAAAAAATTATTATTTCCCAAAAAAAATTACAAAAAATCAAAATAACCAAATTCTGAATTAAGTGATAAAAAAATGAATATTTTCTCAAAAAATTATTGAAAAATAATCAAATTTAAAGAAAAATTATCCAAAAATGATTATTTTACAAAGTAAAGTTGAGAAAAAAAACAAATTTTGAATAAAATAATCTAAAAAAGAATGTTTTTCAAATGAAAATTGCAAAATAATCAAATATTGAAGAAAATAAACAATTTATAATTAGATATTCAAAAAATAATCAGAATTTTGTATTAAATAATCGGTTTTTAATCAAATATTTTTGGAAATAATCAAAAAATTATCAAAATTTGAATTAAAATCACAAATAATCGAAAAGAAAGATTGAATAATCACAAAGTTAATGGTCTCAACTTGTGACTGACTTTCCCCTTGATAATGATGCAAAAGCGCGATGTTGGTCAACATGCAGTTGAATTATTATTTTTCCCCAACATCACAAACACACACACACAATTTGGGTGGATTCTGATTGAGACCAAGACGACTGCGAATCGCCAAAGAGACTTCGTGCCATGGCAAAATTCAAGTCAGGAAGTTATTGAAAATTCAAAGTCTGCGCGCCACAGAAACGATGACTCCTTCGAATGCCTGAGAAGAGCACGATTATCTTGTTCTAGGCACTTTCACCTCAGAGCACTCGCTCATAGAGCTCGCGTATCCATTGTCGTAAGCGAAGCAGCATAAATTGTATCGAACCCATTTCCCCCGTTCAACCTTTTCAGGTCTTTAGGTTAAGAATTAAAATTATGCACTTCACTTCTTCGCGGGCTGGTCTCGCGTCTTGCGAAATCCAAATGTCTCTCCAAAGAGTTTATACAAAAGATATAATATCGCCTCAACTTCTCATGCATATATATTTGAATTTGGGGATCTTCCCGCCGAAATTCATTTATAATTCCAACTGTAAAGTGCAATTCCCTATCATCAGAGAGAGAGAGAGATATTCTTCCTCGGGGCGCTTTATATTTTGCGTCTTATCTCACACTTGAGTATAAAATTAAGATCAGAATTTATTCAACTGCGATTCCATTCATTTTTATCGCTTCGAGATGCAAGTAAAGTGTGGATGCTCAGGAAAAAAGTCTCAGAGAAACAGAGGCCATTTTGGGTGTATTTTGATGCCCTGGAGGATATCAATAAATTAGCGATTTTAATTTCTCCACGTCTGTAACAATAAATCAAGCAACAATCACAAGTGTGTGAGAATAAATCATGTAAATTAGAGGCTCACAAGAGCGCTCCACTCAACCACTGTGTGAGATTAATCTTAAATATTTGGTTTAATAAATAATTAGAAAATAAGTGGCGAATACGCGGTGTGTATCGACAATTTATTGATACTCTGCACAAAGTGTGGCATGCAGAAAAGGTTCAATTAAACTTATTGAAACAATTTGTAATGATTGTGAGATGGAGAAAAAGTCTCATTGAATAATCAGAGAGAGAGAAATTTCAGCAAGAAAAGTAAATTCCCAAGTACAATTCCTTTCATGTGTTGCCCATGGAGTTTCTCGGAGTCTCCACTTCAATGGGAATAATTGTGTAATCTTGAAATCTCACCACATCTGCAGTTCCTTATTGCAAATTTCCACCAAGATTCAATTGCACATGAAAAACTTCTTCTCTCTCTCTCTTGTGCTCTGGAGAAGAGATGCTAACAATCATGGTGATTTTTACTGTCCAGCGAGACGAGAATACAAAATTTATCGTGTTTTCTTGGAGAAATTGGTGTACATTTGGGCTTTGATCAATTGTTCCACACTCCGCAATGTGATTAGCATCGATTAATAAAGCATTTTCGCCTCAGAAGAGTGGATTGCTCTAGATGTTTCTGTCTCATATCAAAATCACACCTTTTTCACTCGACCAAGGGGGAGATAATGCAGTCAGAAGTGGTGTACAGCTCAGAAGAAGCATTTAAAAAATGGGAGTATTCAAAAGCTTGCAATATTCATTTCCTGAGTGTTTGTTTTATTGAAAAATTTTGTCAATTCTTTGGATTTCCTTTAGTTTTCACGCAGAATCAAAAATAAAAATCTTTTTCTAGGTTATGTTTCGAATCATAGACAGATTTAGTGAATAATTTGCATTCTAGCTCATCAATTCTAGTGCTCAAGTCGTAAATATCGCTACAGATGCCAAAAAACGCTGAAAACTGTATTGAACTCAAACATAACCTCAAAAATAATTATTTAGACTTGAAGAATGTTAATTTAGAAAGCTTTTTGCACAATTTTCACTCTGAATCAGCATTTATGAGTTCATTGACGAATGATAACCTCAAAACATCTTAGTTTTTGAAGATTTTTTAGTGATATTTTGAGGTTATGGTCGGATGAGATGTCCAAAAATGCGTTTTTAAGTCGATTCTTGCAGAAATATCGAATGGAAACTTAAAAGATGAAATATAATTTGCAAATAATTGTGGAAACAGACCACAAATTTCATGTTCTATAAGTGTCAGATAACTTATAGGCACATTATCTCCCCCTTGGCCTCGGCATCTGGACCGCGCCACGCTGTTCTCTATTGTGCATGCGACAAGAATCAAAATGTACTTAGTGGCCGGTTTTTTTTTCGTGGGAGAGAAAGCCAACGGCCATATGTTCACGCGGCCGCGATCGTGTCTCCGCCGCTCGCGACGCTATTCACGCGGTCGCAAACATGGCACGACTGGAAGCTGGGCCCGAACAAGAATCGCAATTAATTCCTAATTAATAAACACAACGCAGAGAACAACGCACAATTGCCATCGGCGTGTCTTCATCACCATATAAACCGTGTTCACATTTAATTACTGAACCGCTATATTAATTTCACATGGAGCCAATGCTATTTTCACGACCAATATAGTGCGCGCTCTCACTCGACATGAGCGCATGATATATGCGCAGTGTGAAGAATCTCTGTGGAAAACCATTAAGTCGAACACTGTGGGCCTTCCAGCGATATTTTGACAAATTTATTGATTGCTTATAATCGAATCTGACACACAACTCCATTTCATATCCAACATTCTTCGACTCGCGGGTGGAAACTTTGGCGCGATGGTGCGCGTTATGAGAAGAAATTCTCCTATCCGATTTTCCCATCGTATCAAATTATACCGGAGCTTTCTTTCAATTACTTACAGGTATCAATATATTCGGCTGTCGCGGGATGTCGAGGTGAAAAAGTTGCGAATTAATCTTATTTAGTGGATTAATTGAAATCAGCCATAAATTAAGTGGAGCGCACAAGGATAAAGCGCAGAAAACATGCAATTTATTAGCGAAATGGCCAGAAAAGAAGCGCCTCTCATCGCGTGTGAAATCACTTTTGCAATTTGGCACATGAATATTGATGTATTTTCAATCGAATTCTCTGTATCGACATAATTTTCAATGTCACTGGCTGCCAATGTGAGAAGAAACACAATAAAGTATGCAAAAATATTCAAAACATCTTTCAGCTGATCACTTCCACCCAGAGACTTTTATAGGCCTCTCAAAGTGACCACCAAGTGGATTAATTTCACCATAGAGATAATCCACCCAGATAGAGCATATCAGAAAACAATTTAAGATAAGAAAAACCGCTTAAATTCCCACCATTTAACATCGTAAAATAATATATTTTGCCTACTTTGCGAAAGCCTATTAAAAGGTTCGAATTTCTTTTCATCAGTAATAACACTTTCATTTGCATTTTCTTTTCTAAAAATGTATTTTAGACATTTTAGGAACTTCCGTATCATCACAGGTTATGAGTCAATAACTCTATTTCTAATGACTGTGACTACCAGTGACGATAATCTCCAATTTGGGACAAACATTGAGACGATCGTGCATCTCATTTGTGGTATTTGCTCTGCGTTTCCTCGCAAGAGTTACTTAATAAGAGATCATTTCTGCAAAAGGGGATTGCTAATAGAGATTTTGAGTGACACAGCATCTTGCGTCTCAGCTGCAGCGTGATTCGTTTCGTCGTTTTGAAGAAAGTTTCATTCAAAAATTCAGACATCTTAGAAAATAATAGGATCACAATGACGAATCCAAGATTTCAGGGAGGTAAATTTCTATCAAATCTTTGTATTACATTCTGAGCGACTAAAGAGAAAAATCTAAACTTGTATAAATACAATAATTGGGAGAAGATTTTGGAAGAAAAATGTATTTTGTGGGTTAAAAATGAGAAATTGCAGTAAACTTTAAGAAGAACTTATTAATACTGAACGATTAAAGGATTCCTTACGGTTTTAGCATTTCTACAGATTCTCGATATTGCGAAAATTAGGAAGTTCTTTCAGTGTTAGAAACATTTTGAACTTAAAACCTAGCGTAAAACCGTAAATATCCGATTGAAGATTAAGTATTTAGGCAAAGTTGTCTATTTATTGAGGTGTTTTCTAGATTTTCAGCTGAGAAATTCGTCTTCCACTCTTTCAAAATGGTGTACAATAGTTTCAGAAATTAAATTTTAAAGATTTTCTTCGCATCTCAAGTCAAGTGACAATGCATCCCCAATATTAGCAACCCCTTGTTTTTGCACGATTTAAACCCATCATAATGATCTCTTCAGCCATCCTTCAGTCATTTCTTAAATACACGAGCGGAAAAAAGACGCATAAAGTATGGCTGAGAAGTTAAATGAAGACAAATTTTCCGTACTTTTACATGCAATTTATCTACATGAAATATATCATGCTGTAATTGCTGGTGATATAATGCACAACTCAAGCGGCGTGGCTTTTTTGCAGGACGGTGGCAGTGTTGCGACGCTGGTGGACAGATATCTGAGTCATCTCTATCCAGGCTACCATGACCATGTGCGTTCGCTGCTCGTACGGCAGGCCCGCGATCTTCTCGTGTGCACCTTCCACGGCAACCTGAGTCGCTTCGAGGCGGAGTTTTTAGCACCAGGAGCCGAGCTCATCGCTGATATCAAGCGCGTGTGCAGTTGCGGATCGGTGAGTTTTCTTTTCAAGCTCTCAACCCCGGATGACACTTGCCATGATCATGACAGAATAGTGTCTGCGATGATAAAATATGCTGATCACCAGCATTTCTCCTCGAGAATGGCCAAGCGGAGGCTCAATTGATTGGCCATTAGCCCGAAATGGCACACAAACTTGATCCCCATTAACAAATTCATAGAGTTTGCAATTAGAGGATGGGAAATACTGTGCGGTATTTAAGTAATTACCAGTCCACTCTTGTGCACCTTGGCAAAATAATGAGACCTCGGCGTTGACATTCGTTAGGCGGCTTTTGGTGTTGTAGAAATGATAGTAAATATACTGGAAGAAATCAATTTTATAGCAAACATTCTACTTTTCCGTGGATATTCTCGCGGTAATTCATCAAATTGACATCATTTTGTGCCCATTTCCACTCTTCAACTCGCAATATTATATGTTATATAGCACTAACGACAGCCTATAGACTGGAAATTGGCCATATTTATCTGTGCGCTTCAACTCCAAATATGCTGAAATTTAATATCATGGCAAAAACTCTCCAATTTCAGTATGTGCGCGGATTAATTCTCTCCGCGGCACTTTCTCTGATGCGCGCGCGCGGGAAAGAATTCAAAAATTATTCGAGAATCTTGGTGTTTGGCGTTTGGAATTGAGCGAAAACAAAAATATATCCGACAATTAAGTTCAATTTTCGCTTTCCTTTTCAACCAAGAATCTCATCGCGAAGATGGCGAGGAAAAAAACCACCCGTGATAGTCATCGTACATGAATTGAATGTTTAGATTTAAATCTCCGAAAACCTGTTCCACAGTTTTGCCCACTATCAATAAGAAAAATCTTTAAACGATAATTAATTTTATAACTTTCTTCTAAGACATTTGGGGTTCCGACGCTTTTTCACACTCTCAAATATTGCCCATAATTTATATGTTGTGTTGTGAGTGAGAATTCAATGAATGCCACTCAGTATGTTTTCTTCAGGGATAATCTTCGCGGTTTTGCACTTGATCAAGTGAGAGAGTGTGAGGTTTTATTTTCACTTATTATTTATATAGTATTTGGATTATATGGGGTTATTGGATATTCGGCCTCTGAAGCTCTCTTCCTTCTCTCCGGCTGCCCGCATTCAGTCTCAACTGATGGGCTCATGAGTCGAGATCAAGGGTTACATCAAGGGATGCTTTGCATCTGAGATGCGACAATTAATCACTTATGTCACTTATTCACGCAAATGAAGCACTGTGAAAATTGTGTGAATGTCGTTATGTCATCATTACGCTGCACTTAAGCGTCTCTCTTAGTCATTACTCGAGACAACACTCAACTTGCCATTGCGCACTTTGTTAATGCTGGAAGACATGCGAAAAAATTGTGGTGCGTCCGTTGCAGAAAGTGTATTGTTTTTACTGCCAAGATAATTTAAAAAATGCCAGTTGAGTTTCTCTCAAGGGGGAGATATTGTGGTTAGAAGTGGAAGTGCTCGAATATTTGCAATATTTGACGTTTAAGAGCTACTCTTGAAGGAAATAAACGCAATACTTTGAGATTTTTTACACTATTTTCTTCATTAAAAATCTCATTGCTTTTCTAGGTTATGTAAACTAACTTAAAGCAAAAATTTAGTTGAGTATTTGCAATCAAATGTTAAACTGTGTCAATTGCCCAAATATTGATCATAACCTCTAAATTTTAATATTGTTCCTGGATACAAAATTAAAATTAAACTTAGCTAAAATGGCAAATTTCAGCCAATTCGGTGGCAATTTGGTGGTAATTTTTAGGTTATGATCAACGGTATGATCTAAAAGAGCGATTAAAAATTTAATCACATCAAAATATCCACTGGAAACACTTTAAGGATTTTTTCTAGAGTCATAAAAGTAAAAATTGGAGTCTTTTTATGACAATTACGACCTGAATTTGAGGTTATGATGCTTGAAGCGGCTGGAAAAATTTATAGAATTGCAAAAGAAGAGAGAAACACGTATTTTAATCACTGCTGAAGTTCTGGAAGTGTCGCTGTGAGTGTGCACAGAAATTGTGGAAATGATGTACACTGTTTAATCGTATTATCTCCCCCTTGGTTTCTCTAGTGGCCTTTTGGGCTGTAATTTCGAAGTCATGCGCTATTTCTCCACATATTTCGATCCCTGAAAAACCATCTGAAATGTCTGAAAACAGACTCTTGACCCTAAAAAGCATCATCTTCGCTCAATGTGAAGTGTTACTCAATACTTTAACTGCACACCTATCTTTCTGTGCGTAGTACGGAAAGACTAATAAAATAGCGAAAAGTGGCAATCAATCACGGTGAGAAAAAGAACCTCATCTTGGCCAAAAGGTGTGTCGCGGTGAGAATGTTTTTTTTCCTCACGCCCAGAAGTCCACATAAATTGTGTGGGCAAGAGAGACAATCTCTCAGTGGACAATTCAAATGCAAAACTTCTGTAATTTCTTATCATGAGTGAACGACGGGAATTCATTTCTTTCTCCCGCCGCGCATTTCCAAACCATAAAGTGCAATCCGATGGATTTTTAACAGCCTTTGTGCGGCATTTGAGCATTTTCTGCCTCTGCAATCGAGTAATTTGCTGTATTTATAACTTTTTCCTGGAAATCACTCGGTCACGATTGTCAACTGGCGCATATGGTGATTTTTCGTGGAATGCCAAGAAGCTCAAAAATTCAATTGGGAGTCTCTCGTGGTGCCTTCACAATTTACAAACACACGAGAGAGAGAGAGATGTTTGTCAAATGGACGCGCGACGATGAGGAAATTTTCCAAAGCCCAGCAAAATGTGCATTGAGATATCTCATGCTCTCTTCAATTAATTATGCACAGCACTGAATGGTGAGAAGCATGAGAAATATGTGTTTGCCCTCCTCATTACTGTCTAATTGATGACAAATTTCACTTACGCTTTTCTGCCTATCATTTATGCCGCGCAGATAAATTTATCATCGAACACTTTGAACTCCACCGGAAATGATATTCCACGTAAATATTGCACAATTTGAACTTTTCTCTCCAAACAACCCATTAATCACAAACAGTCTTCGAATGCAGCGCCTTTTCACCATTTCCACACACACTCGCGATGAGATATCTCTAGCAATTTGACTCCACAACAAGATACACAATCAATCCCAAGGGGCAAATCACAAGGCGATTTTTGAGGAAACTTAATGTTCTCTAATCAAATAATTAATTATTTGAGTAAAATAATCAAAAAATGATTATTTTCCCAAGTAGAATTGAAAAAAACAATTGAAAAATAATCAAATTATGATTTCAATAATAAAAAAAAGATTATTTTCTCAACTAAAATTGAAAAAAAATCTAATTTTGAATACATAATCAAAGAAAAGATTATTTTCCCGAGTAAAATCACAAAAAAACAAAATAACCAAATTCTGAATAAAATAATCAAAAAATGAATATTTTTTCATACAAAAATTGAAAAATTTTTGGAAAAAATTACAAAAAATCAAAATAACCAAATTCTGAATTGAAAAAAAAAACAAATCCCAAGTAAAATTACATCAAAATCTCAATATTGAAATTCTGAAATAAATTATGAATAAAAATAAATTATTTTCAATCAATTAATCATAATATTTCGAATATTTACAATTATTCAAGTATATTCAAAATTTGATAAAATATTCCGGAAAATAATAAAAAATAATCAGAATTTGTATGAAATACAGAATTTTAAATCAAAAATTGAGAAAAAAATCAAAAAATATTCAAAAAATAATCAATTTTAAATCAAATATTTAGAAAATTATCAGAATTTTCTACGAAATAATCAAAATTTGAGTAATAATCACAAATAATCGAAAAAAAAAGATTGAATAATCACAAAGTTAATGGTCTCAACTTGCGAGTGATTTTCCCCTTGATCAATCCTTTGAGTGCAATTTGCAAAATCAATTTGATTTTCTCAACATCTCTCAAAGCACGCGCATTCCAACGAAGAAGAAAAAAACGTCTTGTTGGCCAGAAAAATCTGAAGGAGCAAAAACGCAAACATTTTCTCACGAAATCGCATAAACATCCCAAAGTCTGCGGGCTTTGATGTTCGTCACGGTGTTGGAGAAAAAAAAAATCAAAACATTGGAAAAATCAGGTTAATTCCCTCTTTGAGTAAATTCCACAAATAACCCATCATCTTCTCTTTCGCCTTTTGTGTAATTGTGACAAATATACTTTTACCGCGCGCGACATTAACATAAATCTTGCTATATGTAGATTGAATTGTGGTGTGAAGAGCGCGCGCTGGCAAAGAAATGCCCGAAAGTGATGATTCTGATCGGTGAAAGCTTCTTGAAATTCCATTCGGCTCTTGTGTTATATTGCAGGTGAATTACGGTCTTCAGCCCAGAAGGTAATCCACCTCTCGCGAGATCTCTCAATGAGACACCAAAACATCGTCAGATTATACTCAATTCATTTCATCGTAAAAAATTTTTTCGTATAAAGTTTAAGAGAAATAAATATGTCAATAATTAAGCATGCTTAAGTGCACTGGTTTCTCACATTCGCGATGATGCGCAATTTTCCTCTCTTCCTTCGCAGCATCTCTTCGGCTCAATAAGTAATTACTCTGTTGTAAAACCCACCCAATGAACCACTTTCCACACTGAAAAGTGCGCATGCAACGTGTTATCGGGGAAGAAATCTCAAGCACCACCTCGAAAAAGATATTCCTCAACTCTTTTGTATTTATGAAGGCATCTTGAGACAGACTCGAGAGCGATTCAGCAATATTTATGTTTATTTTTAAATATTGCCATTGAATTTGCATACACACTTCGAGCCATAAGATAAATGGTCCCTTAACATTTTAATCTCTACTCGATTTATATGTCAATTGATATGATTGGGGAAATACGCTTTACACACACGCCGTGTGAGACGTTTCTTGTTGAAGAAATTGAAGAGTTAAGCTAATATACTAAATGCGAACATTTCACACAAAGAG